TCGATTATCCAGCCTGATAATCGATTATCTCTGCACTTGAAGAAATAATCGATTATCAGAGACTGATAATCGATTATCCTGCAACATTGTAGGTTCACTAGCCATTTGTAACGGCTATTTTGGCTCCAATTCTCCTCCAACTAGCCGTTTAAGACCGTTAGGATGTTTCTCTATATATAGGAAGGCTCCAATTCACATCTACACACTTCCAAACCTTGAATCAAAGCATTCTACAATCATTCAAGCTCTCTTGTCTCCTCAAAACATTATTCTCAAAAACTTGTTCATCTTCCTCTCTTTCTAATCTAAATGGCTTCATCATCTCGTAGTAAGATCCCAACAAGGAGAATATCTGCTCCTACTTTTCATCCCCATCCCAATTCAATTGAAGGGTGGATCTCCGACAATAAAGGAAGACAGGAATTCCTGACTTTCTGGAAAGAAAGGGGCATTATCAATCCCAAATATATTATTGGTGATCAATTCATCAATAGGGGTTTCAACTTCCCAAATCTCCTTGAGCAGCAAGGTGTCCTTCCATTCATAGAAATGCAAGGTACTTACTACCCAGATTTAGTTAGGGTCTTCTATTCACGCTTTAAATATAGAGATCATATCGTCACTTCTAGAGTCAAGGTGGTGACCATCATCCTTGATGATGATATCTGGGAAAATGTTGCTCATTTTCCTTTAAGGGAGGATGCTACCAATATTCTTGTGGATTTAGAAGATTTTAATAGAATTATGTCTTACCGCTCCTTTCTCCGCAACCCCTCTATGGAAATTGGCCGCCAACTTTTGGTCGGGCCTTTAAAGAAAGAAGAATGTCTTTTGTTGCATCTTCTTGTCTAGATTTTATGTCCTCGGGCAATCAACCATGCCCAATGTTCTTCTGCTGACCTTTGCATTATTCATTCCATCATGAATAATGAGCCCATTGATTGGCCAAGCTTATTTACTTTAATAATGCTCAAGGTGAAGCGTCACCCAACATTCAAGATTCCATACGCTCTCCTAATATCCAGAATTCTTGAATACAAGGGCATAAATGTTGAAGGAGAACAACGGGTCTGGACCCTAAATTCAAACAGAATGCTAGACGGCACGCTCACTCAGCTACAGATGGTGAACGTAAACAGAATTTACGTTCATAAAAATGATGTTCCTCACATGGCCAACATGGTTCAAGATTCTTATGATGAGGACATGTCTACTACTGAAATGTCTGCTGAAAACATTCATACTGTTGGGATGTCATCTGCTCATCCTACATCCCACCCGTCTATGGAAGATATGTTATTTGATATGAATCAAAGAATGCAAGAGTTCTTTTCTATCTCTCAAGAATGACATCAGGAAATTATTCAACGTATTTCGGATGTAGATGATAGAGTATGTAATTTAGAGGACAAATTTGATGCTTAATTTAACAGTGATGAAAGTGAAGAGTTTTAATCTCTTCAACATATCTCTTGTTTGTAATCAATTTGCTTTATGGAATAAAAAATTTATTGCTTTGATTGATGGGGAGTTATTTTCTATATTATGCACTTGTTGAGGGGAAGCTTTCATTTTTTATCATAATCAAAATAGGGGGAGAAATTATTTAAAGTCTCTTATGTTTATTAATTTTAAATGTTGTCTGGTATGTTTAATGTTTTGTTAGTTGTGACAGATAAAACAGGTTATTACAAAGGGCTTTAAAGGAAATTTTGATCATCATAAAAAAGGGGGAGATTGTTGAACATACAAGGATATAAATGTTGAACATACAAGGATATGAAGCTTGTAGATTTTGATGATGATTCAAGAAAATAGGACATAGAGATTTGAAGACTTGTAATCTTATGTAATAACTCTGTTTTTATGTTTTTGAGTCTGTAATATTAGAGTCCAAGATAGTCAGCACATATATCATCATTTAAAAGCTCTAAAAACTCATTTTTATCAAAATTACACTGTGATAATCGATTATCACCCTGGATAATCGATTATTACAACAAGAAAACCATTTTCAGGAAATCCTCTCTGTGATAATCGATTATCACTTAGGATAATCGATTATCACATGCTGATAATCGATTATATGGCCAGATAATCGATTATCCTGACCCTGTTTTGTTCTCCTGCGAATATGGCTCTAGAATAATCGATTATCACTCAAGATAATCGATTATTTGCGTCTGTTATGTGTTTTGAAATTCAAATTTGGACCAAGTTTCGAAAACCCTATTCGCAATTCATCTGTTTTCGAAAATCCCCAATTCTCAGACCCTATTCTCTCTACTTAAGGTTCTCTAAGGCTCTCTGCAAATTGAACAAACCTTTTTCATACAAAAGTTAAGAGTTGTGACTGCTAGAGAACTTTTGTAGGGAAGAAAAAAAGGCTTTTGAAAACCTAGTGTGGGCTAGAAGCGATAAGAATCACTGAGTGAGTTTCTTGGTGGATTGTGTGTTGTGTGTTGTGCCGTCTCTAGGAAAAGTTGTTCTTCATCCTTTGTGGATTCAAAGGAGGTGTTGATCTCTTGTGTGACTCAAAAGAGGTGTTTTCTTTACCTTATCTTTTCAATTTGTAATCTGTTTGTAAATTGTGATTATAGTGACAGCGTTAATCCTCTGTTTGAGTGATTAGCAATTGGACGTAGAGTCTTTTGATCCGAACTAGTATAAATCAACTGTGTAATCTTCTATCCCTTATCTATTTACTTTACACAGCATTTTAATCGATGAAATTTGGGGAAAAATTTTAAAACCCTAATTTTTGTTTAAGAAACCAATTCACCCCCCTCTTGATTTTTGTCCATAAACGCAAATATTCCGCTGCGCGATTCTAACAGTAATATATTTACTTTTTACATCGGTTGTCAATTAATGTAAAAACTCTCACACTTTCTTCATGTGTGACATCTATATTTGTTCCACAATTGATGTACAATAGTCAAATTGATGTACAATAATCAAAATAACCAATGTGAAAACTCTATTTTCTAGTAGTAGTTAGTTAATTACTCCGATGTAAAATTATGTTTTCCACACTAACTTAGGTATTGTGATTATCTTTGGAATAAATTTATCATTTGTCAACTTAATCTAAAAGATACATATATGTATTAATAAATACATGCTATTTTTATTTAAAAGTAATTAATATTTTATAACATAAATTGATTCATTGGTAGACTGACTTTATTTAAACTTATTTAAATTAATGATTAAATAGACTAAATCAAAATTAATTTGAGTTAATTTATTTTATAATTTTTTAAGCATCTCCAATAAGAGTTTCTTAGTGAATGTTTAAGAAAAATACTAATTTCTTTAAATATTTTTTTATTTGAAGAAGAATCTTATTTGATACGATGAGTTAGTTAAATTTTTTTGACAATTCTTGCATCATACAATTTTAAAAAATAAAGTAAACAAGAAAAGAGAAAAAATTTCTTTAAATTAAAAATAAATGAGTAAAATAAATGAAGTTGAGAAATCTAAATATACATCAAAAGTTACACATGGAATAAAAATGATAAAATTAAAAAATATTTAAACAAGACTTATAAATCCAATATCTAAATTTTTTTTTAAGTTATTGTCAATTTTTACGTACTTGTGTTTTATTGATATTATTTTTTTCTATTGAATTCTCTTCAAAGATCTATATCCTTCAAAAATCTACATAAATTCTTTTAAAAAAATATATTATAAATTCTTATTTTATATTTTTAAAAATAAAAAACATGTAAATTACTACTAGACATTTTTTTCAGTCCAATTAACTTTTTATTTTTATTTTTTTCTAATATATCAAATCAAACTTATTTTAACATCATAATTATTCATAACATCTATCATATATATATATATATATATATATATATATATATATATATAATATTAAAATTAAAATCAATTAATTTACTAAAATTTATACACATTTTTATTTGTTTTTAATTTTAGTTGATTTTATTTTAATAAATAAATTAAAGAATAACATAATATTGATTATATTTCTTAAACAATATATTCCTCTTCCATAGAACATGTGTTTGGTCTAATATGCAATCAATCTGCCTGTTATAGGGCTGAATTATTCGATCTTCAGTCTTCAGCTTCAAATATATATGACTTTTTTTTATATCTTTAAAATTAAAATTATTAATTTTAGTTTTTATAAAATAAGCAAATTTAAGTCTACATAATATTAACATCTATATACTAAACAAACATTATTAATAAGATATTCTACTATACTTTAAAAATTAAATATAAAATCATAAATAATACTATAATATTTCTAAACAACACTGCATAATTTGATATTTGTATTAAAATATTTTAATATGAAAATTATATTATATATAAAAAGTAAATTCACCGGAATAATTATTTTTATGAAATCAAATAGAAAAATTATAAAAACAAAAGCATTTTAATTATTAAAGTTGTCATCAAACTTTTAAGAAATATTTATATTTTTATCATCTTTATTATATCGTATTTTCCAGCTTAACAAAAAGCTAAATTCTTAAATTTATTATTTTTTTCTCATAATTAATAATCCATCTATAGTTCTGAGACTTTAATCCCTCAGTTTTTACAACCATATTTGTCAAGAACATCACTTATATAAACAGTAAAATTCCTTGTCCAAGGAACTTTTTTCAGAAGAAGTAATTTGTTTGGTTTCCTCCCTCTTGGCATGAGCTTGCCTGCAACCCTGATCTTTACACCCAAAGTCTCCTTCCTCTGTCTCCCATTGTTTGACTCTTCACAGCACTTCAAATTTTCGCATCATCTCAACTCTCTCGTCGCACAAAACGGTACCAAGATAGTTTTTTTTTTTTTTTTTTTTTTACCCCTCACTAGAGCTAAATCTGTTACCACGACTGCTATTGTAAATTTTGGGTAGATGGGATTTTGTCTGCTTGTACCATGTAGACTCTTTATTTTTTGAACTTCCGATTTATCACAACTGTAAAGATTCCGTTTTCACGAGATTTGAGATGTGGGTATTGATTTGAAGATCTTATTGCCGCTCTATATACTAAATTTTGTGTAAATATTTGTGCTTTCCCCCCTTTCTTCCCTTTTCTCTTTTTTTTTTGTTTACCAATGTTTGAAGTAGAATTATTTGGGCAGAAGATGTACAATTTTGTATGAACCAGATGTGTGACCTTTGTGTTTAAAATGTTATGTAACCAGATGTTAGATGGTTGGGTGTGTGCTTTTCTTTTGGTGCTTTCATGGTCTGTGGAGGTAACTGATGCAAGTGGAGGCGATGCTGATCCCCGCTATAGGTTCATCACTTACCTTTTACTACTTTTTTCAGTTTTACTCGTTGTAGTACCTAGGAAATCTTCATTGCATCCAAATATTCTAAGTTACTATTTGCTCCATGATTAAGTGGAACTTTTAGTTGGATTTCTCCAATCTATTTATGTTTCTTGTTTGGTTTGGATATCAGGGGTTGTGTAACACAATGTCAGCAAACTGGATGTGTTGGGGAAATATGCTTTTCAAACTGTAAATTTTCTTCGGATGGAGAATTTATTGATCGCCCATGGTACATGCAGCAAGGACCACTCTATTTACAATGGAAAAAATGGGATTGTCAATGTGACTGTCGGTACTACTGCATGGTTGATAGAGAGAAAGAAAGGGAGTCACATAACCTTGGCCCTGTCAAATATCATGGCAAATGGCCATTCAGGCGTTTATATGGGATGCAGGTATGTTAGCAAAAAAGCGAAACCCTTAACTTAAGTTCTTCATTTGAGTTAGCATCCAATCATTTTAAATCCTTTTGCTTAATGAACTGCCATGAATCCTTTTAACCAGGAGCCTGCTTCTGTGGCTTTTTCTGCTCTCAATCTTGCAATGCATTTTCATGGTTGGGTCTCCTTTTTCATTCTTATATACTATAAATTGCCTCTGAAAGATGGAAAGAAGGCATATTATGAGTATGCTGGTTTGTGGCATGCTTATGGGCTCTTATCACTGAACTCCTGGTTCTGGAGTGCAGTTTTCCACAGTCGGTAAGCTACTTATGCAGATATTTCAGTATTTTCTACTGATTCTGAATATCTTTGTGTTTAATAATGTCATTCTGATTTGGTTATTCTGCAAATAAATACCTTGCTATTTGACCATATACAGTGATTGATTTTAGGTGGTGTTAATCAGTCTGTCTTTGTTAGTGAAGATTGAATTACAATGTATGCGTATGAAATGTTATTACTGAAACAGTTTCTAAATTTAATTTTTGTATAATTTTAGGTGTTGTCAATCAGTCTGTCTGTCCATTATTTTTTGTTAATGAAGTTATACTCCTTAGTTCTTATTTTAAAGTCTGAATCACCTGCCAAAAAATATGACTCAAATTGAATCACAGTGTATACATATGAAATCTTAATGCAGAAACAGTTTCTTAATTTAATTTTTATTATAAGAATATTTCTAATACTACTCATTTGGAAGATAAATTAACATCATTGAAGGGGTTTCTTCCTTGAAAATTAAAAGCCTCATGTAAAATTCATTTTTGTGTAGCCCAAAATATCTATAACCGGTTTTAACTAAACTCATTACCTTATTGTTCTGAATTATGTTGATGTTCCAAGAAACTACCTGAGTCTTGTATTAAAATTCCACTTTAACCTTGAACTAGAAACAAAAAATGTCACATTAATTGTTGCACATAGCAATTTACGTATCCTAAAATTTCCTATTCTTCCTTTCCTCTTTCTAAGCTTAAATTTCCATTGTTTGCGTCTTTTTGTACTGCAGAGACGTTGATCTAACAGAGAAACTAGACTACTCATCTGCAGTGGTTCTCCTTGGATACTCCCTCATTTTAGCCATCTTACGAACCTTCAGTGTTAGGGATGAGGCTACCAGAGTTATGGTTGCTGCTCCATTGATTGCTTTTGTGACAACCCACGTAATGTACATCAACTTCTATTTACTAGATTACGGTATGTTCTGTCATGTAATCTTTATATTATTATTGCCTAGAGTGAGAGTTGAATGTTGGACCAGTGTGTTGTTTATTTCTCTGCTTGACAAAAACACTTATTTTGAGATGTCTGTTAATTATGAGTGTCATTCATCTTTGTGGCTTCTGCTTCCATCACAAGATTATTGATAACATTCTTAGCTTATCACTTTTCTTCCCAGTCCCAACCCATTTTTTGACCTTAAGCATATGAGACTGAGTTTTGAGGGGATGCTAAGATTGGATTTGGTTTTGAATAACTACCATCTTTAACAAATTTGAAGTTATGATTAGTCTCCCAATACGAGAGCAGACATAAGTTTTGACTTGTATCTTTCTTCACTGTGTCTTTCATTTCTCTTATCCGAACATCTAATTTCTCTTGTGTGCTGATTTTGATAACATTGTCAACCTAACTGTAGGATGGAATATGATAGTTTGCATAGTGATGGCGGTGGCACAACTTTCCATGTGGGCAGTTTGGGCTGGTTCTAGTAAGCATCCTTCGCGTTGGAAGCTATGGTTTGTTGTTTTTGCTGGTAGCCTTGCAATGCTCCTAGAAATCTATGATTTCCCTCCATATGTTGGACTTTTTGATGCACATGCTATTTGGCATGCCACCACTATTCCTCTAACCTACATTTGGTGGAGTTTCATCAGAGATGATGCTGTGTTTCGAACCTCAAATCTTGTCAAGAAGGCCACGTAACTTCCTTTTCTGTTCACTCAACGCTTTAACGATCATTCTTCAACCCACAGCCAAGCCTGTGTTACATGTTGTATTTGTGATGAGTGCTTATTTCACTTTCTTTCATTTGCATAGGTTTAGTTGCTGAGTTTTGTCTTCTTCAGGATTTTGCCATTTATCTTCTTTAGATAACTTAAATGTGTACAAATTCTTACTTGTATTGGTCGAGTGATTCAATTTTGAAGGATTCTTTTGAAGGTTTGCATGTGTACTCAGTTGTCTTTGATTCCAAGCATTTTAGTTGCATCAAGATTCTTTGGAAACTTGTTTACTGTTTTTATTTGTGAAATGATAAAGTAAAATCTGATATAGAAGAATAAAGATTCTTGTCAATGATTTTTTTTTTGTTTATTAAATACCTAAACTACAAGTATTATATTTAACTAAAATAGATATAAAGAGATTAAATATGAGGTAGAAATATATTTTTAATAGTAACTATTATTCGTACTCCGTTTGTTAAACACTGTTAGCATCAAAATTTTCTGATCGTTATTATTGTCTCTATGTTCACTTTTTTCATTAAACGCATCAAATTCACAATCATTTATGTAAAGTCATGCGAGTAATAAAAACTTGTATTTGTGTGGGAGGAGTTATGTTATTCAATGTATGTTTAATTGTACTTCCAAACTTTGAGTGGAAATAATTGAAAACTTCATCTCTCTTCCTAATTTAAGACCCTTTTTAAATTATGTTATTTTTCTAAAATTATAAAATATTATCTTAGTATTGTATGGAAATTGTTAGAAAAATAGGCTAGTTCAAAAGGGAGAAGATTCAATTTCTTAGGATTTTTTTTTTAATTTCGGAGAAATATTTTTTTTAATCGATAATGAATTTTTATTTTAAAGTTTAAAAAATATTGTTCAAATTTTTTTTTAAAAGCATACGATATACCACAAGTACCAGTTTAACAAAAAGAAAACACACACACATGCAAACTAAGAAAATTTAAGTAAGAAAGTTTTTTTAATCTAAAAAATCACTTTCACTCATTCATGAAAATCTATGATAAGTAAATATTTTATAAAGAAAATATTAAAAAAAGTGCAGACTTTAATGAATCAAGAAGGCTCAAAAATAAAAATAAGTAATTGTTTTGAATAACTCTTATTTTTTTATTTAATAAGTAAGTTTTATTATATTAATAAAAAAAAGTAAACATTTTTCTTTAATAAAGGACCTTAAAACCCTTCCCCCTTCCACTCTTGCATTGCATTCATTGTTCGGAAGCCCTCCTTTGTGTTTTAAAATTCTCCTTTCCCTCGGCAATGCTCCGCCGCGCCACTCCTTTCCGCGCCTCTAGAAACGCGCGTTTCGCCGTTAGGCACAAATCCAGCGGCGGAAGAAGGCCGAAGAAGAAAACGTACCACAGAGTGGCGGAACTAGACAGAGTGATGGAACTGCGGAAGAAGCCATCGATGATTCTCCACCTCACCTCCCTCATCCAATCCCAGCCTCACCACTCTCCCCTCTTCCTCCGGGACCTCGAGAAGAACGTTGGCTTCGTTCGCAAATGGGCCTTCATGGGCCTCATCGACAAATACCCTTCCGTATTTCGCGTCGCCGGGACGCCCCCTTCCGTCTCCCTCACAGCCCGGGCCCACAAGCTGGCCCAGGAAGAAGCCCACGCTCGAGCCTCCATGGAACCCCTCTTGGTTACCAACCTGCGGAAGCTTCTCATGCTCTGCGTCGATTGCCGGTTGCCGCTCCAAACGTTGGACCTTGTTGGGCCTCAGTTGGGCCTTCCCTCCGATTTTAAGGAATGTTTGGTTCCGAAGTACCCGCAGTTCTTCGCGGTTAGGTGCTTCCGTGGAAGGGATTGTCTTTTGTTGGAGGATTGGGATTCCACCTTGGCTGTCACTGCAAGAGAGGCTAGGTACTTTTTTTTTTCACTCATGCCTGAACTAATTTTGACTTGAAAAAATTAATTTTATTTGTATTGAAAAACTATCCAAACAAGGCATTGTAGTAGTTGCATGTCTTGGAATTTGCTAAATTATAGGATTTTTTAAATTGTATTAAATATTGAACATGTTTTGATCACAAAAATTGTCTCTGCTGGTTAATTTGATCTTGTAATTAGAAAAAGAGAAATTTAATTTGTATAACACATTGCATAACTAAGAGGGAAAGAGAGACAAATATGATATGTAAAAAGGAATATTAAAGAAAGTTATATACTCCAAAAGTATTGTTGTATAAAGAACACAACTCTAAAGAAAAAGGTTATTGTGGTTGTTGACTTTGGTTTTTGTGAGTCCATTCATCCATCACATTGTGAAAAAAGTAATTCAACTCTATGAAACTAATTTATTAGATAAGAGTTGCATCTCACTTTCATATTCGATTTTAGTCATATCACTTGTCAAAATTGAATACTGATTTATAATGTGGAGTTTGAATCGTATTGATATACTTTGTTTTAACCATGTCATTGTTCTACAAGGGATCTCAGCATATTCCCTCACATGGAGGATTGAGATAGATATTTGCTAATGGTCTTATTATAACCAGATAGCGAGTAACACTATAAGCTAACAAGTAATATGTCATATTAGAATTTGGTTTTGAACCTAACTCAATCCAATAAAACCAACCAACTTGTTAGGTAAAATTTGCATTCCACTTATATACTTTATTTAATCATATCATCACTAATGAATGTGGGATCTCCGACATATTACATGATTCTTAACTTTAGTAACCATCCCTGAATATGGTCCTTAATAACATTGTGAAAATTACAGACTATAATGATTACTTTTCATAATGTCACGGATCATGTTTTTATTTACAATATATTAATGTTTAGTAAAATAATTGTTTTTTTTTTCTTAAGTTGCTTCTTTCTAGATACATGTTTCGATTTGTTTAATATTAAAAAAAATCCTAGTTTTGTGTTAGAATTAGTTTATTTTGGATAATAATTTTTATTTTTAATATTTTGCAGCTTTTAAAAACCTTTTGAAATGAAAAAAGGTGATTATTTATCATTGAGAAAGTGTTCCCTAACATTGAATCAATAGTGAGACTTTGAACATAAATTCTTTTGGGTACAAAATGAGTTAATTTATCACAAATTAGGTTGGCACAGGAAGGAGTTGTGGACCTGAAGGCAAACGGGGATAGGAGGAAGGTGAAGATTTCAAGAGATGGGAACTATCTTGGTCCCTTTGCTTTCAAAATGAATTTTCCTGCTGGTTTTAGGCCAAATGTTGGTTATCTTGAGCATCTTGAGAGGTGGCAGAAGTTGGAGTTTCCTTCTCCTTATTTGAATGCAAGGAGGTTCAATGCTGCTGATCCGAAGGCCCGAAAACGATCTGTGGCAGTGATTCATGAGATCCTCAGCTTGACCATGGAGAAGAGGATGACATCTGCACAGCTGGAGGCATTTCATGCAGAGTGTCTTTTGCCATCTCAATTGCTGCTTTGCTTGATAAAGCATCAAGGGATATTTTACCTCACTAATAAAGGTGAACGGAGTACTGTGTTCCTCAAAGATGCATACCTGGGTTCCAACTTGATAGATAAGTGTCCTCTGTTGCAATTTAATGATAAATTTATGGCACTCTGTGGTAGAGGAAATACTGATCTGTGTGACTGCAAGAATTCTTTACCAACCGTAATTTAGAAGTTGAATTTGATTGATTTTTTAGTGGTACGGTATTTCTGCATCTCTTCTTAATTGGGAAAGGGTAAGGAATTTTAATTTGGAAAAGTAAGAAGCTGTAAGAATATCATTCCTTACTTGAAGAAAAACCATGCACGATCTCCTGATAATTCGACATAAAAATTGTTGTTGGATTAGGAATATTGGTTACAGCTAGAAAGGCTGTGATCAGAAGTGAAAGTTGACTTCATCAAATTAGAATATTTTCATTGTCCTTGCAGACATTGAGGTTGAAGTCATTCAGAAAAGTCGTACCGTATAAACTTCTGATGCTCACAGTTCGGCCAATATATATGCCCTTGATCATTGCTCTTAGAGCTTTTCAGCGTGATGAAAAAAATGGCATTTAGGAGTTCATCAAAGAAGGTGCTAGGCATGCAAGGGTTTACAAAATCATTATGTTTCGGATGCTTTAGTGTAAATTATTTGCCTTAATCTGAAGATGCTTCTAACGGAGATTTTGGCACTCTTTTGATGGGATCTTTCCTTGGATGTGTTTCCTCCATGCGTTTGTGGCTGACAAGTTAAGGACATATAATCACCTGAAGTGCACTAAAGCAACCATCAGAGTTTTGGTGTAGGGATTGTTCTAAATGCTTTCCCACATGTTTGGCATCAGAGCTGGTGTGAGAGTTGTAGTTGTTCTTGAGGTAATATCCCCTCACCTTCATATATTAGTATTATGCTTTATATATATATGAATGAGAAAGGATTCATGATGCCATTTTTCTCTATTGATTAGTAATTCAGTGTGATTTCAAATTTGATTCACTTCCAGAAGATGTAACACATACTTGTATCTATTATAAACCAATACATGAACTGCTAAGTAATTTTACATAAGATGAATTAACAATAAATTTATAACCTATTATAGCCCATTTTTTTAGAGGGAAAGACGTGTGTGATATTTATGAGGATACTAGTTGATCCAAACTTTCTCCTCAATAAACTTGAAAGCAAATTGTATAAATGTGAGTATTTGCATTACGATGATCTTACTGTCAACTTGAAAGCCTAGTGGGAAGGCAAACCAAATAGGTTTATCAAAGCAGAGTTGGAACCTTTTCACTTTTAGATTTTAAGTGAAAATCTCCACAATCAAAATTCCATCTCTTTCTTTATTATTTAAATTTTCTACTTAACAGAAATGACTCATTAGAGGATCCAAACTCTTTATATGTGTATGTTTTAGGCTAATTAAAACTTTTTATCATAATAGGTTATAGGCGATCTCCTCTCATCCTTTAACCATGTTTTTTTTTTTTCTACAAGCACTTAATTTACTTGTTGACAAGCCTATTCACTTATAGATTAGGTCAAGCTGCCCATCCAAGAACCGATGTCGACATGCAAGAACAACTACCATCTACAACATAAATGGTGTTTGGCAATGGTAGATGTGAAAGCGTAGAGGAAGATTTCAATGGGACTTTGCAACCAATTATCCAATGATGGCAAAATTCATGGGCTTTTGTTCGTTAGCAGATGGCAAGAACTATGGGGTAGGTTTGGTGGTTTCTGTGGTGGTTCCTGTGCGGCCAAAGTAGATATCTTTGAGAAATAATAGGTTAGCTTCTTCTTGAAAGCTAACCAAGAACTCACAAGAACTTTGAAGAGAGTTTCCTATTGTCATTCATGGAGGAGATAAGTAAAGGAGAGAAAATTGTCATTTTAGTCTCACTCATCACTCCAAAAATATAAGTTAACTTTCTTCACAATTACATAAACTGCTGGATAAACTTAAAGTTGTGACAAAAGTTCGCGTGTATTCTCATTTAAAGAGAGGCTTAGACGTGAGAAGGAGTGGTCAAAAACACTCTCCTTCCCCTTGTATCCAAACAAAGAACGAAAATATTTACGTAAAAAATAACAAAGTTATCCTAGTAAATAAACAAGACCTTTTCTTAAGTAGAATTAAAATATGAATACAAAGAATAATTATTATAAACGAACTATTCAGTGTCTTAATGGTTTTATTGGTTCTATGAAGTTCTTCTCTAGAGCCTTTCTTGTTCCTAGGGAAGATTCCCTAGAAACTTATTTGTCCCGTGTCTCTCTTTCATTTTAGTTAGTCACTGACCTTGTCCTAACTCCTTAAGTTGGTTCCTCTTGGTCCATGATCAATTAGAGGATTCAATGTTGTGGTTTTGATAATTCATTACTTACATCTTGGTCAAAGCAAAATCTCGGTCTTTAATTTTATGGGTGGGATTGTATTAGGTAACATTCTTATAAACTTTGTCTATATTATATTTTGGATATTGGTGGTGTAGGTGCATGTGAGAAAAGGATTTGACTTTTTTTCCATTGTTTTATCTGAATGTAATGCACCTTAGATGGATTTGGACACATGCTTTGGATACTTTATTTTAGACATGTATTGAAGGTAAGTGTTTTCATTTGGTCTTTTGACATTGATACCCATTGGATGTATCTTCGATTTTATAAGCATTGAAGACAAAGACGGAATTTTTTTTATATTTAATATGATATAGCTTTGATCATTTTCTCATAACAGAATTTCTTTGTTTAGTATTTATTCATGTTATTATCATCAAAAGTCATTCAGAATTTGTTATAATGTGGCTTAGTCTTAACATCTTAACTAAACATAAAATTAGGGTGCCAAAATGAGTCAATTTGGCTTACATGCATTAATTCACCACAAAATTGAATTGAAAATAAGTAAGTTTTGCGATACTAAAATGCAATGATGCTGTAACATAATAAATGTTTGTAATACAATTGAAATATAAGAAACATATGGTATAATTGAAATATGTTGGTGTGGTGGCGCAATGAATGCGGTGACATGACAAATATTGGATGACATAAGAAATATTGGGGTGCGATTGAAATGTAAGACTAAAATGTTGTGGTGATGGTATGACAAATGTTATGATGCCTGAAACGTCAGACTCAAATACGACAGATGCTATTGGTCATGATATTAAGTTTGAGTTAAAGTTTAACTTGTAGTTATTAGAGGTGGAGAGACAAAAATAACATCAATTAGAATTATTAAATTATTATAAAAATTTAAAATGAATGGTGGGTTGTGGGTTAAATCATATAACTTGACTTGTTTAACCTATAAGTTAAGTTAAGCGAGTTTGGTTCATTTTTAATCTATTATTGATAGAAATGAAACAAATAAAATTCAACCTAGATTAAATTCGTGGTGAGTAAAGTTGACTCTTGGATTATAATTCATATTGATACTTTTACATGAAATGATACCGGGCCATTTTAATCTGGTTAGGGTTTATTTAGTAATTTGGTGTTGCTAGGAGCAGACCCAATATCCAAGACGAAATTGCTGTAAGGGCCAGATTATTTATGACCAACAATTTCATTTGCAAATAAGACCCGGCTTCCTCTTGGCTCACTGACGAGGATTTTATGAGAAAATGGGTGTAATCAACATATTTGATGCTTTTGAAAAGGATTATAACTTTGCTTATGACTTCATCTATTTGTTTAACAATGCCATATTATAGTACTTTCCAAAAATATAATGTTGAAAATTACAGCCCAATCATCTAACACCCTGTGTCAACACATATATAGTGTAAGAGTATGTCTCAGAATAGCTTGTAGCTGTTAATTGAATTATGCAATTTTTACGAATAATGTTGAGTTGTTTGAGCTTATTTTTACATATTAAAATATATTTTAATAAAATAAGTATATTTTTATTTTTATGTTTATTTAATAACTTATTTCAGAATAAATTTAAATAACTTGATCCAGTGTCATTGTTATACTAAATTTAGTTGCATGGTGTGAAAGCAGAACCAGACTTTTAACACATGAAAATTTGGGGACCAATTTGCTTGAATTGAAAGGGATGTGAACTTTTGCTGGTGCTATATGGACAGGGAAAAAAAAACTTTTTATTTTAGCTACTGTTGGCAAAGCTGCCATGAGACTTGTTAAATTTCATATCTAGAGTCTATCATTTTGGAAGGTGATGTTGAATAATTCACAATTCAAATTGAATGAACTTTTAACAAAACTTTGTAAGATAGAAAAGTAAGTAAACTAAATGATACTTTGCTAAATTAAAATTAATGTATACATTTTGACTTATGTAAAAGCTTTCTTATCTAATGTTTATGCAATTTAACTAAACTTTCATATATTAAAAAAGTTTGACTCATTTTACCAAGTACTTTCATTTTGTCTTGCATTGCTAATTTGGATTAGGAACAAACTGAAATTTTCTCACCACTACAATAATACCTACTATTATGCTTACAGTATCTCCTTAAGCACATGTTCCTAACTTATTTACAATGATTTATATTTACATTGGCAGCAACCTCAATAGTTGAAGTTATGATTTTAGATATGCACTGTTTCTGCAGTGATGTATCTACTTTTTGGGCCACTTGCAGGAAACCCATGTTCTCAATCTCTGGAACCTTGAAAAGGACTATTTATTAGTACCAGTAGCTAGTGTACTCAATGTTTTCTCAGTGAATTGATATGAAAAGAAAATATTAACTTTGGGTGTGATTTGAACGTGTGAGAGAAAGAACTGTACTCAATCTCTGATATGTTGCCCCAATCACATGCTGTAATGCACTTGAATTGGATCAGAAAAATTCAGTGGTCAAGAATCAATAGAACCCCTCTAGTTTAGATGTAGCATACATTCAAATTTTATAATTTATAAAAATAAACATTAACACTTGATTATATTGTATGATATGCAAAGATTAGTATAAACTATAAAACTCTCTCTCTCTCTAATCTTTCTAAATATGCAGAAACATTATTTCCTTGCTCTATAAAATGCAAGTATGATCTCTCACCAACAATGATATCATACTCCAACTAATGAACAAGATCAAATGTGGATAACTTGATTATACACTCATATGAGCAAAATCAAATGTTAGATTTCAATATCAAACTTTTTTCAAGAATCCCTTTCATCTCTTAAATGTTTCTCTTGGTTTACCATGATAATATTATTAATGTTTGAGGTATTATTATGAGATTATATGTAAATTTTTATTTAAAATTCTAACTTCATAATGATAGTCTTTATTTAGAAATAAAAATATTTTGATCTATAATAATATTATTTTTTATTTATTTACTTTTTTCTGACAAATCATGGCATGTGAAAATAGTCAGCAAGTTGGCCATATGACTCCAAATGTAAATAGAATGAGAAGATGATGTTGAAAGTATCATCCACCCATTGAATTAATTTAAGGATTGAAAATTTCAATGAAAACCACCCTAACATTGGACCAAAAAAGGACAGCATAATGGATTCATAAAGAAGCAAAGTTGAAAATGGCCAAACCATTCCACGGGTGAAAGACCTCTGCCAGTAATAATTGTTGTTGACATATTCATGATCGTGTAAAAGTGAAGCATTAAAGTCCTCCTTCTGAGTATGTTCAGGTCCAAAATAAAATTGCATTCAACTATGAAAAGTTCAATAACACCATCTCTCACTGCCATACCCACTCATTTACTCCAACAATAAAGTCACCTCAAAAGTACTTTCTAGTGCCTCTTCCAGTCAAACCTAACACATTAATTAATAATAAGCACCCCCTTCATCTGCAAAATCCAACCTTCATGCACTAACTCATGATTTTCAAGAATTGATAAATTCAGAGGAAAAATTTTTCATTTAATTAAATTTTTTAAATTACTCAACTCTTTCTTATTCTCTAAAAACCCATTAACATAACATATTATTAAATCAAATCTAAAAACTATAACTTTTTTATAATACTTATTAGACAATCCAAAATTTTTAGGTTCCCAACAATCCTAAGTCCAATAGAGATTTCTTTAAAATCCTAAAATATACCATAATAAAAGTTAAACAAAAGGGGAAAATATAGTAATGTAAACTCCACGCAATTATTCGGATCCATTGTAACTCTAAAAATCTCGTCTTTAGAACTCTATCATAAGAGAGTGAAACTTAAAGAAGAAAAACCTGAAAGGGTACAAGAATATGAGTGTATAATAAGGTTGTTCCACTTTGGAATATTATTTGTAGAACATTGATTGAAAAGCTTGACGAATCTGATTATTTTTATGAACTTGGGACTCTTCCATGGTGGATTTGTGGTCATTCAAATTCTTCCACTTCGGATTCTCATGTCATATACTAAGAATAAAGGAATTTCTATATTCCTTCACTCTTTTCTTTTTTTTCTCTCTTTTTCTATTAACTTGGTATATATCCATAGATTTGCATTATTTTCCACCGTTTAATTTGAGTGGATACACCCTATTCCACTCATGAATTCAACTTTTAGTTCCGTGGGACACCAAAACAATTTGGAAACAAAAGCTTTGTAATATTAAAAAAATAAAAAAGACACCTTTATAGTTGAGTATTTAATTTTTCAATTACCCTTTTAACCTTATGAAAAAGTCATCAAACTGCTTTTCAGAAAATAAAAAATAAAAAAAATCTTACTAGTATGTATATTTGATATGTTAAAAAATATATATATTCTCACTGGTTTACCATAATCTATTTAGATCCATCAATCGGTGAGATGAATTTACATAGTTTGGTTCTGATATGATAAGTGTAATTTGTAATATATATATATATATATATATATATATATATATATATGTATATATATATGTATATATATATATATGTATATATATATATGTATATATATATATATATATATATATATATATATATATATATATGTATATGTATATATATATGTATATGTATATATATATATATATATATATATATATATATATATATATATATATATATATATATATATATATATATATATATATATATATATATTAAATCATATTCAGATGCTGAAGGCTCCTCCACCATCACCAAAAAAGTGGACCTCACCAGTTCATCACATATCTATATCAACTACAGCCTAGACAACAAACAGCAAATGTACTGGAGAATTATGGTTTGTCTTGGGATCATTTTACTTGACAACGACTTGGGATAAGTATACAAAATTATGTTATTTTAACATACCAATAATAATAGGAATGATTAGAAAACTACACATAAAGAGTGTTTTCTTTGCTATTATGAAAAGAAAAACAAGCTTCCACTTCACTCTTTGATTCACCAATAATAAAGTGTATAAAACCAAGTTGTTGTTGTTGTTTTTTCTTTCTACCGTGACTTTTTTTGGAGTGTACATCATCAGTGGCCCAAAATATTAATGTTGTTCAAACAAGATGATGAATGTGGTTGGTCTGAACACCCTTTTGCCCTTAAGAATCTCAGTCAAACTTCATGTAATTATATTTTTTGCTTTTTCTGGTACTTATTTCTCCCTTCCATGACAGTTTTTGATGAGGTAAATTTTATGAATAAGATCAGTTAGACATATGTAACAAGATTAATTGGCAAATGTAGAGAAAGATGATTTATACCATCAATGAGAAATGATCTAGAAAGATCATTTGTGGTGATTGGTTTTGGTTATTAATTATAAAAACCAAAGGTGTTAGAATAAGAGTTATGCACTAAATTTCAGCTTCTAGCAGTGTCATGGTTGAAAGCAATATATACACAGGACATGTTGGTTGATTTACGTGTGTATTATGTATTCTTGTGAGTTTTTGTGGCACACTTGTCTGCTTCACATGCACAATGTTTTCAGATTTTTTGTCAAAACTACTATCAAACAATGGTATCTTCGTCAACGTACAATGATTTCATTGTTTGCATCACTACTTCAACCGCTGGCTTAGTATTTTTATTATATCAGCTTCTGTGTTTTTCAACGTTGTGGGAAAAAATCATTCACAGAAAAGGTCAAGTATCTGCATTTTCATTCAATTAAATGCGTAGGTACGTGCACCATTAATTGCTGGGATATCACCCACATTACATCAATGAATGATAACCACATGGAGAGTGTAAACCTCATTACACTTTCTGCTATCACCAGGTAAGGTGGGGACAAGTCTCAGCTGTGTAGTCACAGTCTAATATTCCGTTGCAACCCTCACATCTTTGATAAATAGGGGCATTGCTTGATCAAAGGGATCAACTTGTTATTGCCATTTTCAAGGTGGCCCTATTTATTTTGTCAGATTTAGAGACTCTGATATGGAAGTACATGACCTAACCTTTTAGGCTGCTGCAATATCATTACAAGTATCAAGTGACATGTGGGTAGTTGCTAGACTAGACTAGACCTCAATTATGGGTCCATGAAAGTGGTGGAAATTGAAAACACACACCTTCAGCCAAATGGCAATTCCAAGATGGGGTGTATTTCATTGCAGCTATAAATCATTCTGAGATATCTTTCCCCTATGCTTGGCCCCACCAGGACTTTCCATTAAAAAGAAAAATAAAACAAAACAAACGCATATAACCAAGACCAAAATTAAGGGTCTAGTTCCATAAAGTTGTTGAGGTAGAATACTGGAACATGAAACATGAAACATGTTAGATGTTACCATTTTAGTCCACATGCACCCAGAATAGTGTACCTGGGATCCAAGTCTGAATATGAATGTCCATGATATTTCATATGATGACATCTTTTGATCTTTCCACTAAATTATTGAATAATGAATTGATTGGATACTCCAATAGTGGAATGAAAATTTAGCAGACAAGTGTGAGGTGTGTAAAGACCACAACTAACTATCTTTTATAATTGCCAGGAAGGAAAAAGTAAAACTGATAGTGCACATGCTCTTGGCCAGAATAATGTCATGCCCTGTGCCTTTAACTTCTTCCTTATATTTCAAGAAAGAGAAGTGAATAAATAGAAACCTGAAAGTGATGATAGAAGAACTAGAGAGAAAGCAACAGAGCCATATCATACTCATCCAATTGAAGTTTCTACCGCAACAACAAAAAAATTATGGTCCATTACAAGGGGTGGGCCTAATGTTCCTCGTTTACAACAAGAATTGTGGACACCACACTGTGATGCACTCCCACATTGATGATAATACCAAATACATTTTCTTTTCCCCTCTATATTTTGTCTGCGAGTGAAACCAGTATGATTTTCTGTGATGTCAATCTCAATTCTCTCCAACATGAACATGACTTGCAAATAAAGTAATGGCAGAAAATAAACCATGGGTAGAAATCCTCTTAGAACAAGTTTTGCATATACAACTTATTTAATTGAGATTTCATATTAAATAGATTAAATCTACAAATTTTCATATAATTTAAAAGGTTTTTATGTACAAAATATTTTTCATGAGATGAATAGGCCTTATAATTGTGAGAGAAACAAATTGAAAACTAACTTAGCTAGTTGATAAGTATTAAACCAGTTGATACTAATAATTGTAGTGTCTAATAGAGTATATATATATATTAGTGTTGCTTTACACACTAACCATCCACATAAAAATTAAAAAACCATATCTATGAAGACATTGGAGATCACAAGTGGGTTTAGAGGATAGTTTTTGTTGGAGTGGCTAATGTAGACAAGAAGTTACTATTAAAAGAGTTTTAGACAATGCACCCACTCATAATGAAAAGGGTAGAGAGATGCATAATGATTTTACCCAAGATGGAGAAGTTGAGTTTGCAATCACAATTCCAAAGAATCAATTAATGTGTTGACAGATGGATATTATGTTAGTGGGAGGTTGATGTTTACAATTGAACACTTCAATGTGTCTAAAGGGAAGAGAAAAAGAATGGTGGCAAATGTTATTCTTCCTTTGTAATCTTTTTCTTATTTTCTTTGGTTTTCTCTTTCCCATGTTTGATCCATAGTGGGGGGTGTTTGTGCCTTCGAAATTGCAATAAATAATGTCCCTATCTTTAGCCTTACCACACCCATCAAACCAAATCCATTGTTATAAAGTAGATTCATGGCAGGTCATTGAAATTCCCCCATAAAGTAGTAAATTTCATTGTGTGAATGGTTTGTGCCCTCTTTCTTTTGGGACTTTGTGGGTTTCTTGACCCACCATGCCTTTCTCTAAAAAACAAACATGTCACTCTCACCATCCTCGCAAATTCAATCCAGAATCAAACTATGTGAAAAAGTTACCATCTTCTCAATAGGGTTGCATCATTCCAAAGCAATGCATAATTCTCACAAAAAGGAAAAGGATAAGAAACTTAGAGGAAATTGACACTAAATGACATTTCCATTAAAAACAAGTGACAGAAAAAACAAGAAAAATCCTTCTCTCACGATATCTTTTAAGAATTTACCACTTTTGTTAACATCCCAAATTATGAAGGAATTTTCAATGCATTTTCAGTCATAATTTTATGCACATGAAAATCATTTTTGTGGAGATAAAAGAAAAATCTTCTAAAAAGTCGTCAATAACATACATCCCTTGAGAAGTGAAGAGCTCTCTTATGGTACAAACCCTAAAAATATTGTATGAGCATAGATAGGCATGAAGATGAGAAAGAAATGTGAATCTTAAGATTAGGGCAACCTCAAGGAGCATAAAGCAAGAAAATGCATTCTTTGAATTTGTGAAAACCTTTTCACCATGGCACCTTTGGACTTTGTGAGTCACATTTATTTTGGAGAAAGAGTTGGAGATGGCACATTGATTTGATTTCAACCTCTATCTAACCCAAGGTCTTATCATTTCTTTTGAGACTTTTGTGATATGAGGGAGAACAGTAGAGAGGGCCCTCCAAAGGAAGCATGTATTAGGATAGAACAAAAGGAAGCAACAAAATCAATTCTAAGATGATGGCCTAACATTAGTGCCCCTTTTCACAAGGTAAGAAAGTTAGGGTCCCCATCATGGGTCCTTATGCCTTCTTTAATTAGACCCATGTTATTTGCTTTGTCCTATCCAAATACTAGGAGTAGGTCCACCCCAACCCTTCAACTCAAAATTTGGAATATGTTATCACCCTTAAAGACAACTTACGTGACACACATCCCTAACCCTTTTGCACCAAGTTTCACACATTTTTGAACCATAAAGATAGAGAAAGCAACCAACAAGCATGGCCCTAGATGCTTAGAAAAGTCTTTCCTTTTCCTATGTCATTAGGTTAAGTGTCATTCTCGTAATAGGTGAGGCCAGGTGCGTAGTGCCTACGTGACTATGGATTTAAAGTCCCCTTGGTATTTTCAATGCCATAATTAACTATGCATATATGTGTGCTTATATATAGATAATGATGTTTTGTGAACAATTTGTTTATCCAAATGAACATCATCGGAGAAGGTGAGAGACCCCACATGAAATTGATGTGTGATTCTATGCGCAAAAGAAACCAAATATGAGTGAGAGTGGGTTAGTTTATTCACACGTCTCTTTCTTAAAAAGGAGACATTGAACATAGTGGGTTAGTGTTGGTTTGTCTTTCACTTTGCTAATCATATTTATTATTCTTGTTCCATATCAATAATAATATATGCTTTTCTTGCGTCTCATTCGTCGCTCTTCATCATTTCTTTTAAGCTCTTCACAACTTTAGATATTATCATTCCATCTTCTTCAATTTTCCCTTTCACAGACTCAACCACTTCAAATCTCTCTTTCTCAATCCCCATCAATTACCTTTAAAAATCCCTTTTATTTTTTAAAGCTACTGCCTTTTCTTCCATAAAAAAAAATGATGCCTTTAGTTTTTCTTTCTTAAATTAATTTTGCACCGTCACCATCTCTTCAACTCTGTCCAAAGGGTCCCATTCATCAATTTGGACGCACTATATAAGGATTGTACTCATCTGTGTTAACTCACTTGAAAGTTACACTTTTTATATCCTTCTAATACATTACTATTACTATCTCAACTATAGTTGGAATTAGCATAATCATAGTTAAAACTATTGTTAATAAGTTTAAAACTTTGGTTAGGTTATATATATATATATATATATATATATATATATATATATATATATATATATATATATAAAATGGTTAGAAGATAAGTATTTGATCTAAGATGTAGATTTTATAGGATCAAATATGTATAATTTGTTTCGAAAACTTTACAAATAAAGGATTAAGTTATTTTATATTTTATAAAAAAATATTTTATTAAAAAATATTTAAATTATTTTTAAATATAAAATATAGACATATTGTTAGAGGTAAAAAAAAACTAAAAACATTAAGAATATAAATACTGAAAAGTTGGAACCTAACGAATATTACGTATTTCTTAAGATATTTTTGGGAAGATTTTAAATTAGTAAAATATAATAGGTAATTCATATGTATTAAGAGACTATCTAAGTTTTGAAGCATGTGTACCGATAAAAAATAAATAAAAAACATAAATATTTAAAGAAAAAAAGGTAATATTTTGATAATAGTTACTTAAATTTAGTATAATTGTGCATGATGATAAAGGTCCATTTTATCCAATTAAATGCTTCTACCTCTAAATAATTGAAAAAAAAAAAATATTAGTCAATTTCATCGAGAGTGATCCACGTGGATAAGATGATAATTAAACTCGTATTTATGGGGATCGATTAGTTTCTATCCCGAGTTTGACGGGAAAAATTTGAATTAATCGGGAACGGAGGCGAGTTCGGATTTTTCCCATTTTAAAAAGTCAAGGGCAAGGTCGGGAGCGGAGATGGGTAATGTAATTCTCACATCGATCCCGTCACCGCTTCAACTTTATATCTTAATTTAAAAATATTAATATTTTAAAAGTATTTCTTTTTTTCTATTACAAATAATGTCATTTTTTTATATTTCACTATTTATATTTTTCTTCTATCCACTTTTTAATTTTTTAGTCTTTTATATTAATTAATTTATTACATTATTCTCTCTTTTACGTTTCAGTTTTTTACATTTCCTTAATCTCTCATCAGTTTATTTATTTTTTAATATTTTCAACCAATTTGATGAATACAAAGTTAAATTTTTTCTCCTTTATCTTTTTCTAAATATTTTCCATAAATCTGATCATTAACTAATATTATTTTATTTATAATTTATATTTATTAGGTTTTATTATGTCATCTTTTTTTATCTTATTATTTTTATTTATCATATATCAAATTTTATCTTAATAAAATAATTGTATTTTAAAGGAATAAAAGAAATCAATAATTTAAACTTTTATTACTTCGAACTAATTAAATAAGAATTAACTTATTAAATATTTTTTTATAAATTATACATTTCATATTTTTAAATGACAATTTAAAAATAAATTAACTTATATAATATAATCAAATTTTTGAATACAATATAATAATAATAATAATATAATAAGTATATAATGTTATAATAATAATAGTAGTATAAATATTTTATATATAAATAAAAAATAATTTAATATTATATATTTTTTAATATAAATATAATTATAAATATTTATTTATATATAAAAAATATATAATAAAATTAATTTATTATAAATATAATTATCATTTTAAAAATAATATAAATAGAATACGAAGTCGGAAGAAAAATGTAAACCTAATAAAAATAAATAAAGATAAAAATTTAATTTTTAATCTTAATTTAATCTTAACTGATATCCGAAAAATAGTTAAAAAAGTGGATAACAAAATTCGGAATCAAAACCCGCACGCCCCATGCCAAGACTAGCTATGGGAGGTGGGTGATGGTGAAGAAAAATTCAAAGAACGAAAGAAAATGTGCTTCAACAATCCTAATAAATGCTACAAAAATCAATTCTTTCTTAAATAATGGCCGGAATCAGAGTCAGATGGCCACCAATAATAAATAAGAAGAAAATTAAATTAGATTTATTTTTTCTTTTCTTAATATGTTTATGTTAATAAAAATTATTGTTTAGTATAATGGATTATCTGTTTTTTATTTTTAAAATAAATTATATTTATCTTTACTATTTTTTAATTTTTTTTACTCCTCGTACGCCAACATTAAACACCAAACTACGGGAAGGAATCAGATTCACGTGTTGTGGAGGGCATGCCGGTGATAAAGGGACAGATGGTCCTGATCCTGTGGGGGTCCACAGGAGTGCTTAAGATCCCTTCCCCCACACAAACAAAATCCCCTATTATTTTGTGTTGTCCTTCTTTTCAAAACGATGTGGACCCTCCAAGTGAATCAAATCATCAAACATATGCTTTTCTTCTGTGTCCTTTTTTTTTATCTATCCCTATGAAATTAACCCCTAAATTTATTTTATCCAACATGATTAATTAATTACAAACAACGCTTTAAAAATTTAATGTTGTACGAATCAAATCAAAATCAACTATTTGTTACTCCTTTTGTAATTTTAGAGATTTTTTTTTTAGTGTTTCGGGAGCTGAAAAAAGAAAGAGGACTCACTCTCTCATGCCACCCTTACCTTATTTTAACTTCCTCCTGTGAAATCCCAACCACCATATCTTATTAGTTGCACCCTATAACTCTCAACCCTAATAATTTTTATATTTAATAATAAAAAATATATTTTTTAAATTATGTGCTGTACCAATAACAGTCAAGAACCATCTATCTGCTGCTCCAAACGCAGTCGTTTTCTGCGCCTCTTCGCCAATCAATGAATTCCAATCACAATAATTACACTTTGCACATTCCCAGACACTTCTCTATAGTTTTAATTTTTTTTTCCAACAACCAGTTTGGGTGGGTCCCAAACACTGTGGACGCGCATAAAAGAAGAGAGAGAAACAGCAGCGACATTTGCGCGCGTCCTACGTGTCAGATTTTGCCGCACTCCTTTCGCTTTCACCTACTCGTTGACTCCTCCGCACGCGTTTCCTCCCACGCGCCTCTTTCACTAACCTAGTTTCTCCATTGGGGTACTATCAGTAACTGTCGGATATGTGCGCATTGGGCCCCACCACCTTTTACTCTTTTACCCCGGATAATTCAATTATTTATTATATTTCGTTAGTAATGAAAAGAAGAGTATTAAAATGGTGGAATCGAAAAGAAGAAAAAGGAAGTTAATATTTTTTAAAAATTCTATATTGAGAAAAAAGATTATCTAATAATCTAAAATGGATAATTATGATGTCATGTTTACATGAACACTGGCATTTTTGAAGGATTTACAAACAGGACAAGAGTCTAGGCTAGACCCGCAAACCGTGCAGACACATAGGTGTCTGCAAGGTAAGATTAGCACGCACGATTCCTCCTTCCCACACTTTCTGCACAATCTTCTCTCACCGCTTCTTCCATCCTCATTCTCATTGTTGTTATTATTGATAATAATGATATTTTCTTTTGTTCCGCTGCAACCTTCTCCTTCCTTATCCTGCGCCCCCGTACCTACCGTGCGCCATCCCTCGTCACTGCTCCCGCAGCACGACTCTGCATCTTCCTCCGCCGTGGCCGGTGCTGCCTCGCCGTCTCTTCTGTCGGATGCGGCCTGCGCCAGCACCTGCTCCAGATTGTTGCGGAGGGCATTGGCTGTGGCCTCGTTGGTCTGAGCAAGGTCGCGCCATATCTGATTCTCGATGCACAGAGACCTCACTTTCTCTTCCAACACCCAATTCAATTTTTCAATCTTCAATACCTCTTCTTCCTTCGCTCTCAACCTCATCGCCATTTCCCACTCGATGGTTCCCATCAATCTTCTCGCTTGCCCTTTTCTTTTCTCTTCTAATTCCATCCTCACTTTCTCCATCTGCACAAATTTCAAAAAATTCAATCACTTGTTATATTAAATTAAATAACCTTGCTCGCTCCTCATAATATCAAATATTTTCACTTTCCAACTTTTTCAAATATGGAACGAGAAAATGAACAATGAAAAAGTACAATAAAAATCATGTTAATATAATTTCTAAATGGTTAGAAAGTAGTTATTTACACTTTTAATCACTTGTGGAATTTGAAATATTGTATTTGTAAAGAGTTGTACACTTAGAATTTGAAAAGTAGGAAGAAGTTGAAGCGATTAAAAAATGGCAAATTTCGAAAACAAAAAAATAAAACGTGGAAAAATGGAGAATTTGTTGCGGTAAAATTTGAAATTCCAAACAAGGGAAAGGGAATTACGTGTTGGGAGACGAGGGTATCGAGGTCGTGTTGTTGGCGATGGATGTGAAAGGAAATGTCTTCGCCGAGGAAGGAGAAAGAATCGGTTTTCTTCTGAGGGTAGGAATGGAATTGCAAATTGTTGTCATGGATCGAATCTCTGGAGCGTTTTCTGGGAACGGGAACAACGTTGGTGTAGGAGAGAGTACTGTTGTCGGATTTCAAGACAGCGGTTTTCTGGGGGAGGGAGTTGTAGTGAGGCGGCGGCGGCGCCGGGAGAAAAGTTTCCGACGCGGTGGTGGTGCCAGAGAGAGGCAGCATGGAGTAATTACCCGTTTGGGTGGCGTAGATGTTCATGATGGTCGCGTCCATTGGGTTGCTCATGATTTCTCTGCAAGTAAACGACACAAAGAAAGACAAAATAAAAATAAAAATTAACACCCACAATAATAACAACAAAACAGAGAACATGAATAAGAAGAAGAAAAGTATAAGAGATTTATGCACCTATTGGGCATGAGTTGTTGGGGAGGGAAGAGGTTAAGGTGACGAGCTTCAACAGCCATTTTTCTTTGTGGTGAGAAAATGGAGAAAGAAAAATGGGAGATAGATAGAAAGAAAGATGAGAGAGTGAAGGAGAAGAATGAATGAATGAATGAATGAATGGGTGTGAGAGAGTAATGAACAAAAGCATGCAAATAAGGTGGCAGCAAGGCTGGATGGTGGGGTTCATTCATTCAGGATTTGGTTCTGTCCACACTTTATTATATTTTAATTATATCATTAAATGTTTAACTATTTTAAATTGGTACATCAAAAAGAAGAGAAAAAAGTTACAAGGTGTGTATCTGTGTGTGTGTGTGTAACTTTGTTTTATTGCAAGATTTTGTCTATTTATGGAGTGCCAAGTTCCTGACTTAACCCACCCACATTTGATCCTCTCATAATTCTATACTTATACACTACACCTCTGTTTCAATTCTATTCTCTCTTTTTTACATTTGTCTTTTTTTTACATTTGTCTTTCATTTTGAAGCATTCAATTAGTATATTTATCATTAGAATTGATTTTTTAATTGGAGATATCTATAATTGATAAAAGAGATTGAGGTGTGTGATTATTTCATAACTTTCAATCACATCAAGATTGATTTTGTGAGGGTTGGCGTGTCATGAAGAAAAAAGTAAAAATTTGTTCACATCTTAAGTTTTGAAATTGCCTTGAAAAGACCATTCGTGACTAAACATTAATTTTAGTAATGAGTAACTTCTAGCTATTTTAATGCAAATTCAAATTTAAATTAAATTATCGTTTTTCTTAATTTGTTTAAACTGGTTTTAAAGAAATTAACTTTGACCAATTGACCCGCTGAGATAAATATGTTAAACTTTTATATTGAATATGTAAATTTTTAATTAATTATACGTTAGTACAAGCAGTGTAGATTTATGTTATTTTTTTAATGTAATCATTCTATTACAGTTTAAGTTTTAATCAAATAATTAATAATAAAATGATAAATATTACATGTTACTGATATTATTAACAAATATGCTCTTCTAAAAATAAGAATCTTTAAAATAAATAAAATTCATAATTAAAAAAGTGAAAATCTCAAACATGCAGACATGCCATAAAAGAGACAAATATTTATGAATGAGTATTAATTAATTAATTAATTAGAAGTATCTTTTACTAAAACATTACTACAATATTTATTAATAGTAAAATCTCATTAATAATATATTTAAAAACATTTACTTAAATCTAATTTATAATATACTTAATTAAATTTAGTATATCATCATACACGTAAATATTAAGTATATTTAATATTAAAATGTAATATTATGATAGCGAATGAATTTACCAATGTTGTAGTTTGTAATTAGACTATAAATCGAAAATTAGATTTAATATATATATATATATATATATAATGTATTTAATTTAATGTTATTAATGTATTTATAATAAGAATGTATTATTAATTTGAATTAATAATGAATTAAAAAAACGGAAAGATAAAAGGATTGAGCTGACAAATCTGTAACTGGCAACTGTGGGCACATTCTGCAACTCTTTTTCTCTTTCCCACACTGTCCCACACAATTAATATATATAATTAATGTATATAAATTTTTTATTCAAAGTACTTATATTTTAATACACTAAAATTATTCTTATAAATGTTTCAGTATCCAAATTTTACGTTAATTTGAAATCATTAATTGTTAATTATGTTTGATAAAACATTTAGTTAAATTATTAAAACAACAACACAAAAATATTATTTATGTATATCAATTAATGTCATGAACGTATTTCTTTATTTATTTTTTTATATATTTATCTTCATTGCTTTAAAAGAAGGAAGAAAAAGAAGAATTCGAAAGGTTAGTGGGGCCACGGAGGGAACACGTGCGTTGCAGCGTTGAGGAGAAGAATACAAAAGGTGACGGTGGGATAGGCACGTGCGAGGTGAGGACTTTTTCGGTTTTTTAATTCCGGGAACTAAAGTGGGTGTTCAGTCATGTTGGTAGCATGGGAAACGTTGCTCTTAGAAATCTAAAGGGGAGTGGGTTTAGTATTTGGGAGAGTGTGTTTAGCAATAATAATAATCTTCAACACCACCAAAAAGCCCAATGATCTCTAACACCCATCTTGATTTGGCTAACCCAAATCTGATTCTCATTGGGCTGGCATGGAAAAAGTTTTAGATTCTCCATCATTTCAGTTTAGATGAAACTTGAAAGTCAACATGAGTTATGGCATCCATGTTAAAGTCAAAGTTAAAAAGGATTTTTTTTTTTCAAAATTAAAGGCTTTTCAAGGAAAATTAATTCCTCTCATATGATTTTTTTTTTAATTATTAGATAAATAATTCATGACACAAAACTCCATGAACTTTTTAAATCTAAGAATTACATATATCTACTATTTAGGTACAATTTTTAAATACATTTAGTTTATTTTTTATTTAACTTTGTGTGTATCGAACCCTCATGGAATTTCTTGTTACCGGCCAAATCCAACACTTTTATTATGCAAGATTTTCCACACCTCAATTTCTTCTCCAAATGATTGAAATAAATTTTTTTTAAATGAAAACTGATGTCGATATTTTTGACTTATCCTTCGATCTGCATCTTCAGTGAGTCAAATATTATATGCATATATCCATCACACAGACACTGCATATTATGATTATCAACTTTCTGTAGCAGTAGCCACCATGATGAACCACCACAATCAGCATGAAGCTCCAGGTTACATACAAATATGCATGCACACATTTCTTCTTTTATTCTGTTAGTTTCTTTATATTTTTTATTCATTATTGAGTTATATCCATATGAATATTATAATGAATATGGTGAACATGGGATGCATGTGTAGAAGAAAGTTCAGGAGCTGTGATGGCATATCCTCCAGCAGGGTATCCTACAATGGAAGTTTCTGCATCTTCTGCACACGTAGAGACCAAAACCAGAGGTGAAGGGTTTTGGAAAGGATGGTGAGGTTTCTTCTTCCTCCTGGAATGAATTGAATGGGATGATTTGATGTTATAATATGTATATGTTTTCAATGAATTTTCAGTGTTGCTGCGATTTGTTGCTGCTGGGTACTCGATGTTTGTTGCTGTTGAAGGTGGAGCAAGACAAAAATGGTTGTTCCACCTTCAATGTACAACACTTGCATTAGTTACCACTTTTAATAAATTATTTTCTGGTTTTGCTTATTGAAAGAGTTGTAATAACTTTAATTTTTATTCTACTTTTTTACACTTTTATTTCTAGGAGTAGATGAGAAAGTGATATTCATTCTATAGAGACTATTATAAAATTGTTTTATTTCCTAATACACTCATAGTTTGGAATTGAAAATTAAATTAATTGAAAATGAATTAAAATAAATTAAGAATTGATCAATATATATATACATATATATATATATATACATATATAAAGTTTTTTAAGTTAAAAAATTTTAAAATTAATTATTCAGTGCAGTTGACAGGTAGAAACTAATATAAATTGAAGCAAATTAAAATATAAAATAAATTTTACTATGATACATCTAATTAATTTTTTAATAATTTGAGATATATATATATATATATATATATATATATATATTGTTATTTTTTAAGTTGAATGTAAAAATATATGAAAATAAATTAAAACTAATACATAATTAATGTGTAATAATCAAGTATATTTATAAAGATATATTATAATATTTTTAGGAAATTTTTAAAAAAAATAATTACACCACTGCTTAAATGTTAAACATATTTCATTACATATAAAAAGTCTCAAATAAATCTTCATTTAAGTAGGCGATCTTTGGAGTTTACTTTTGATAATAATACATACATGTATTTTTTGTTTTATATCAACTCAAAAATTCAAATAATTTTGTCAATATTAGAAGTTAAGAAATTAGAAAAATACATTTTATTATAAGTAAATAAAGAGTGATAGAGGAACTAAAGAAAAAAAAATCAAGTTCTTTTAGATAAAGAAAGATATTTTAAAATGTAAAAAAAAAAATTCTTAGTATTATAGATTATAAAATGGACAAAGTTTAGAAATACAAGCACTTATAGTGGTATAAATTTAATCAAATCAGAATATAATAATTGGAGTTGAAGTTCATCATCACTATGGAGTATTTTAGTAGTATTGAATCAATATTGGTTATTTTTTTTGGAGTGATTAAATATAAAATAAACATAATGTATCATTTAAATTTATGCATATACTTTATACTTTTCTAATGAGATAGACATGTATAATCTATATATTCATTTAAAAATGTGTATAGTCCACCTTATTCATTTAAATTTATGTATAGTTTATCCATTTTTATATTTTTAATTTTAATTATACACTTACATTATGAAATAATTTTGTATTGTTATCTAATTAAAAATTACCTTTTGTATTATTTTTAACATATCCTTTTATAAATTTTAATAATTTTTTAACATCAATAATAGTTTCTTGTTACATGGTGATATATAATTATTTTTTATTAGAACATTGATATTATATTTTCTACTTTTTACTTTTTCTAGATAAGTTAAGGACATCTCTTTAAGATTATTAAATTATTTTTGGTGAAAATTATTATTATTATTATTATTAGTAGAATTAAAATATAAATATAAATTAAAATTAAGATATAAATATAACATAAAATATGAATGAATAAAATTTAATATAAAATAATTAGTAATAAAATTAATTAATATATAAATAAAAAAATTATAATATTATTCATATTTATATTTTATAATAATTTATAAATAAAATTAAATTTATAAGGAATAAATGAATATTTAATTTTTTTATAAATTTAAAATAATTAAAATTAGTAAAACATTATAATCTGATATTTTAATCAAAATAAAATAATAAACTTTATCTAAACATGTAATTTGTGTGAAATTTTATTACAATGTTTTATTAATAAATATATAATTTTATATTAATTTTTGAAGAATAATTTTATAATTATATTTAATTAGATTATATTTCCGTTGCTTTCTATTGTCTTTAGCGTAGATTAATTTTATAATTCTTTTTCCTTGCATGCTTTGCAAATCATATCAGAATGTATGTGTCACTGATTAAACACTAAAAACATAAAAATTAATTCAAAATTTCAGTATTATAATCAGCTAAGACAATGTAAATACGAAAACTATATTCACCTTATCATATGAAATAAACAGAATCTATTAGTACAAATTCATCTCTTTCCAATATATGTTGAAGTAAACATAAACTAAATGACTTTATTCATCGCATAATCCAATATGATTCATTACATAAATTATGAGTTTTCAATGTAAAAAGTTTTTCATTTGATAATATATTGTAATATGTCAAAATATTAATAAATATAGATTTAATCTTCTTTAATAGTTATGACACAACAATGGTTAGATTTCCAATTGTTGGATCTGATTCAATTAAGATTCCTGAGAAACCTTCCTCTTTGAACCCCCAGAATTTTGAGAAAAGGAAAACATATATATTTGAAAAATTCAATGAGTTAGAACATGGATCAAGTATGCAATTGCATAACCATTTGCTTAATGAAGTTATAATAAAGCAAACAAAAAGGACACTCCACCTTGATTTTGCAAAATGCAGGTACAACCCAACATACTTAATTACATTAGGCCTTTGCAATCTGCCACTTTGAAACTATCAAAACACATAGAGTTCAGCCAATTCCTCCAAAGACTCAGAACTAAACTTAGGATCTGCATTTTCTAACATCCACAATAGATGATCAAAGAGAACCACCTCACAGTTGACCACCAATACACTACTTTCATTACTACCCTTTGGCTTTGACTTGTTGATTAGCTCATTCAGAAGAGGATGGTTCAGATACTTCTTGCTGATCACGTACCGTTTTCTTGTGCTACCAACAAATATTGTTTCACAATGTTCATCTTCTTGCATGCCATGACCACCACCCCATATGTCTTCTTTAGTGGATTTGGACCTCAGGCTACTGTATGATGAAGATCTTCCTAGCTGCCTTGACAAACTCTTGCATTTTCTGAGTAATAGATTGATCTTCTTCATGCTTCTTTTTTCTTGTGTGTGTGTGTGTTTATTTCATATTTAAAAGAGGGAGAGGGTTGATCAAGAAGAACCAAGGGATGAAAAGAAAGAGGGACAAAGAGACTTAAAATACACTCACAAAAAGTGTATGAAGTACTTTTACTGAGAGAAGTGGGTGCAAAGTCATTGTTTTCCGGTGCTCAATTGTGGGGTCAATTTGCAACCAAACATCTTTAGTGACACAAACAAGTCATCTTTCAATAAAATTTGAGGATAATAGTTTTAACTTGCAAGCACAACAGACAAACAGACACACTGAAGCTCTGGTCATTCATCACTGATCATGGCACCCTAGTACAGAGCCCATCCATTGTTTTTCTAAAACCATCTGCTACTTAGCAAGGACTTGAACCCCACTACCAGTGCCCATGTCACCCCAAAAGGAACAGCTTGAATTAAATATAAACAAATTATGCATGTTTGGTTGCAGAAACTGTTCTGTTAAGTAAAAAGAAAATTTTGTTAAATTGCTCATGACATTTTTCAGATAAAATAAAACTGAATATGATTTTGGCACATAGAGGCTTTGACAAATTTTAATACTACAGACAGACATAAGTGTTAATTCATGCTTGATGAAAATAACTTTTGATACATCACACACTCTAGAGAGAAAACTCAGTATAAATTGTAAAAGGTGCTTGTTGTTGCTTAGAAATGAGTATCAGATTTTCACTCTTCCTAATTAAACTGAGTAGAAAACATATTACTTCACCATATAAGCAGAATTAGGAAGGCTTGAGAGAATCTTAATTTCAATTTTCATGAAATAGTCAGAAAGATAAAGAACTAATTTTAAATTAATTCACTCATATTAAGGACTGGGAAATCTCATTAGGAATTCCCACACCAGATAAACAATTTTGTTTTTTAATCTTATCAAAGAAGAAAGAAGAAGAAAACATCACTGTAAGAGTAATACATTGTGGTGGTGTCATTTTCATTTTTATTGTACATACGGTAGTTTTTGTAAGCATTTACTAAACATGTTTGGTTAGACTGTTCAGAGAACCTAGTCTTTTTCTGGGGTACAAGGAACATGGTCATTCCACAAGCTGTTATCATCTTTGCTACTTACAAACCAATAAGATTTGTGCATGACATGGATACTCCAAGATAACATTCAAGATAAGAAGAGTCACTATTCTGACATGTATTGAAAGTGCGCCATTTCACAGAGATGTTTTGTATCTTTGTTCTAAATATCTACATGGTTTCATCAAAAATTGAAAATGGGGGCCATGAGGCTAATGTCCCACAGGAACGGACTCTTGACTAGGCTCTCTGTCTTATGTGGCAGATGCTTAAGGTTGTGCATGCAACTATTTGTCCCAGAACATATCACTTCTTTCTTTCTGACTCGAGGGCCTTCTTTGTTTTTGGTTTTTGTTAGAAAATTGTAATTGTTCCAACCAAAAGTGGCAGGAGTGAGCAATAGGTTGCACTAGTTGAACAATTATTGCAGTCTGTATCATTGTTCAAGTTGCATGCACAACTCATCCAAAGCCAACAATAACACTAAATTTTGTCCAGTTCTTAAACCTATATCAATCACAACATTGCTGGTTTTGATAAAGGTTGCTTGTTTTGAACATTATTTATAGTTTTTAATATTTGAAGTATAGGGATAGGGTCAAATTTAGTGAACCATGTATCAGATTCAATGTTTGCACCATGCTGTGAAGTATCATTTTAATCAATGAAAACCCAACTTTGAAAAGTATGTCTCTTATTTAATTATTTGAGATAACATATATCCATCTTTACCTTAAGATAAATTCAATGCAAGTCTTCAAGATTTAAATTCTAAAAAGTAATTAGCTGACTATTTAAGTCCAAGTTGTTCCTATGATTATACAGATTAAATTTAGTGATCTCTCAGTACAAATCTAGTATATAAAGCTCAACAACTTGTAACTTCAACTTTAAATCAAGATGAAGATATTTACATTTTCTTCCCTATCAACACAAGATGATGCACATCCCTGAACAATAACATATCAGCATCCTCTGCAATCTGTGAATGACAACTAAATGGTTTCACTTCCTTCTGGTCCTTTAAAAAGTGTAACAATTCCCAGTTGATTTTATCTTACATAATACACGAAGTTCTACAAACAAGATATTGATTAGGGAGATGTAAAGAATACCTTATTCAATTGTGAATTGACAGAACAGGTGCAAATTGCATAATCAATTAGGTGGGATAAAGATATGGTTGCCAGGTAAGTCTGACATAACAGAACAAGTGAATGAATGACACAAGCAATGGAATTTATGATAGGGTGCCATTTCTATAGAGTCAAACAAGCAATGAGACAAGTGGGTCATCTTTAGTCCAATCCATGGCTTTCCACATTTGGTATCTAGTTGATTTGAACCAGCTAAGGATTGACACGACAGAAGTAGATACAAAATTTTATCATTATCAAAATATCTTCACCAATACAAAACCTATGTCAAGGACCTTAAAATTATACACTAAAAATAATTTCTGTTGTTCTCTGTTAATGTTTATCTTCATTTGTTTAACAAGTTCCAAATCACCATTACTGATAATCCTTAGCTGTGCCATTTTGACTGTATTGTTGGGTCAAAAAGAGAAAAAGAAAGCTGTAAATTTGAAGAATGAAAATCTACTGAGATGTTGTCCTCTATAATTGCATCTTGAAAATGATAACTCATCTCATGTTTTGATAGAGAAAAACCATCACATAACCTGCCAAACGACAACAAGATGATAAATTAATTTCCTTTCAAACAAGTTATTTTTCACCCTTTTAGTCTAACCACTCAATTTGTTAGTAATCTATCACAAACTTATTCTATACTAGTCAATGAAAAATACAAATTTTTGAGCTTAAAACTTGTTGCAAACTAATGGCTTATGTTGTACACCAAACCACCAATTGAATGAAGTTAATGCGTCAACGTTTCAATAAAAAATGAACATGTGTACCACACTCAATTCCATTTCAGTTTATTGATGATTAATCATAATCTTTAAATAATGATTAAAAAACTAATAAATGATTTTTTATTAAAAAAATACATTATTGATAATTATATATATATATATATATATTATTATTTTTTAATAACTTTCCTTTCTTGTAATTCGTTAGTCATGGTTCTTACGTTAAAATCTTATAATTTTATAATTTTACAAATTTGAGTTTTGATTTTTGAAAATGAGATAAACAAATTTTTTTAATTCGTTTTTGCAAAATCATATTTCCTTTTCAATTAGTATTGTATGTCTTATTATATTACTTAATTGAATCACATAATTAAAAATGATATAATTATCTTAATTTGAAATATTTTTTATTTGATTGTTTATCTTAATTAATATTTTTATTTTTTATTGCTAGCTAAATAATGTCAAGAAATTAAAAATAACAAATTCTTTTGGAGGATTAAAACTGATAGATATTGTTAAGATATTGTTAGATATTGTTAACTACAATATCAAATAATATCTTCTGTTTATTTTGTTTACTTTCGGTTACTCTTTTAGTTGTACCTCTCTATTATAAATAGATTACCCTATGTGTGGTCTATACACAAGGAAGATTATCTCAAATTGTATTTCCTCTATATTCAACATGGTATCTAGAGCTTAAGGTTATTTTGAAATTTTTTCGTCATTATCCATTGCTGAAGTCGCCATCGCCGCTGCTGCCGGTTAAACTAATCTTCCACATCAGAACAAAATTATTTTTGTTATTGGATATTATTTGGTAGTGTAAAAGTGCATGTCTAGGAAGGTTCTGACAAGGAAATACTTGGTATTTAAGCGTGTCCATTAGTGACCCACCTCTCTTTCCTGGAAACTTACCTGGTGCACTGATTCACGCTGTTGTCACTGCCGTCGCCTCCAGAGCAGTCGCCGGAGCCGTCGTCGAAGTTTCATTTTTGACTGGTGACATACGGTTTTGTTCGTTTCAGTAAGGTGATCACCGTGCCGTTGAGATCACCACTATCGGAGTTGGTCGTCTATTGTCTCCTACGTCGTTTAGTCTCCACGGACTTGTTTTGGTCTTCTCGTTTTGGATCTGTGCTTCGTAGGTTGATTGGATTACTTTGGATTTTTTTAGGGTTTGTTCTGCTGCCCTTCATGACTTCTTCCACTACTTTCAATTTTGTTAATGATTCTTCTATGTTGACATCTCACCGTGATGACCGGACTCGCCCTCGTAAACAGGGAAAAGGGCGTCCTAAGTGTGAACATTATGGCAAGTTAGGTCACAAGATTAATAAGTGTTATGTATTACATGGTCGTCCTCCTTGATCTGCTGCAGTTGTTCAGACCAATCTTTCCCCACCTTTGTCTGCTGGGGATCCTCCTTCTTCTGTTGCATCCGACACACCTGCTATGTTCAATAAATTTCTCAAATGGTATAAGCATCAACAATCTTCTAGTTCCACTACGTTTTTCGCACACACAGATGCATATTTTGCTGGTCTGACCCAATCCTCTTCTCCTGGTCCTTGGGTTTTTGATTCAGGAGCCACTGATTATATTACTGGTAACAAATCTTTGTTCTCCTCTTTATCCTCTTCTAATCATTTACCTTCTGTTACACTAGCTGATGACTTTAGAGTATCATCTCATGGTGTTGGAACTGTTAAACTTTTCCCTTCTTTAACCATTGATAATGTTCTTTATGTCCCTGAGTCTCCTTTTAACCTGTTGTCCATCAGTAGTCTAACTCGTTCTCTTGATTGTGTTATTTCTTTTACCAACAATTCTGTGTGTTTACAGGACCGGAGTTCGAAACAGGTGATTGACACAGGATATAATTCTCATGGTCTTTATCATCTCCATCCCTCTACACATGTTGATGCAGTTATGGAGTCTCCCTCTCATCTTCATGCTCAGTTAGGTCATCCAAGTCTTGCCAAGTTACAGAAACTTGTCCCTGCCTTGTCTAGTTTGGCGTGCGAGTTGTGTCAAT